TATATATATATATATATATATATATATATATATATATAAACTATTATCATCATCATTCTGACAAAGTGGAACTGACTGAAGTTAATTTTTCTTTTTTTTTACAAAGACAGTATGGTAATAACCTATGATTTCATCTTTGAAAGTGATCAACTGTGAAATAAAGAGCAAAGACACTGAATATTTAGGAAGGTTAGAGACCAACATATTGTTACTCAAAGTTAAATAAATGAATCTGAACAAATAGTTTAACATTATCAAATCTTTTCTGAATGCCAGCTTTTGAAGCTATTTCAAAAGGCAGTAGAATTAAAAGATGTAAAACGATGTTGCTTTTACTGCCGGCTTAAAAAGATGTCAATTTAGATGTGATGATGATCGGTTGGTTTCTGTTTCTTTACACTCTGTCTGTCACTGATTAGAGGACTGAAAGCTGGAGAAAAGGAAAAGAAATTTAAAATACTTCATATAAAAAAAATACAATAAAACTGAGAAAAGTGTGTCAGGAAAAAAGCACTCAGGGACACTCAGCCGAGGATTTGTGAACAAATGGAGCTAATTTATGATTAATAATTAGTTTATCCACTTTAACTTTGCTAAGGAAGGGGAACGTTAAAATAAAATACTGAGAATGCACAGCTCAGATGTAAACTCTACACTTTGTAGACCCAGATGTGCACATATTAGTACTCATTCCTCTTTTATTTTTACTTGCTGTTTTTTATTTTTCCTTCTTGCTCTCGACAAAGACGGATAATTTTTCATCCTGCTCCTTCCCCTGCTTCTTATGCTCTTTGTCCTGTGAACCTTTTGGAGCTACTCTTTGCATATCTTCTGAATTGTAAATCATGGATCTGCTCAGCTGGTCTCTCACGCAATTATAAAAATTTTCTCAACAAGAAGACAGGGCGAAGGAGAGCCCTCCTGCCCCGAAGGGACACTTGCAGATGGATACACGATAGATTCCTGGGGGAAGTGGAAGATCGTGTGTCTGTCCATATTGTTGGTCGAGGATGCTGAAAATCTGCACATAATTGGATCAATGACAACAGGATTTCTACTTTTTGGAGTTGGCGGTTACCTGACATATCGAGAAATTCGGAAAACATCGGCAGCTGTTCTAGCCATTGTGAAGCTGCCCGGCATGTGTGAGGGAATGTGCCGTGCTGTCAACACTCAGACTCAAATGCTGTGTGAGCTGAGCCTTAAGCTGCACTGAGAATCGCAGGCTACTTGCAGCTCTTGAATCTCTCTGGCAGGAAGAAATAGATCTCAGAGAATTTGTTAGCTCGACTCGGCGTATTTGACCACGAATTTGGCTGTTTGGAGTTGCCATTGAGCTGAACTAACAAGACTGTAAAGGCAAATGGTGGGCCTGACCCAAAACAACTGTTGTTAGCTGACTATGGCTCCCCCCTGTCAGCCTTGGAAGGCTGACCATCTCAAATTCTCCTGGATGTTATGTGAACAAGATGCTCTTCTCCCCCCACCCCTACCTGCTCCCTTCCCCAAGGACATGTGCGGACCTGTGTCAGAGCTCTACTGAGCTGGCTGATAAACACTGCACCATCACTTATCAGGACTATGGCTGTGTGGTGGTGGTGGGACTATCTGGACAGTGTTCACAGACTACTTCCCAAACTCACTCAACGCCCCCCCCCCCCCCCCCCCCCCCCCCCCCCCACACACACACACAGTGCAGTAACTAGGTAGATGCGAAGGCGCCAGTGGCTGCGTCGCTCACTTGGGCGACCTGTGCAGGGACCCCCACCCTCACCCACTCCATATGCATATGCTTCGAAAAACTGGTTATGACTCATATCAAAACAACCATCAACATCAACGAGGACCCTCATCAGTATGCATACAGTGAGAACCAATCAACAGAGAATGCTATCTCCTCTGTGGTCCACACTGCGCTCAACCACCTGGAGCAGAAAAAACTATTTCGTCCGTATGCTCTTTGTGGACTTCACATCCGCCTTCAACACCATGATCCCCCAAACCCTTCAGAAGGAACAAAAACACCTACACCCCCCTGAACATAAGAGGATCTGTGGTGGAAGTGGTCTCCAGCTACAAGTACTTGGGTGTATACTTGAATGACAACCTCAGCTGGAGCAACAACACCACCAGCCTGATCAAGAAAGCTCATCAGAGACTCTACTTCCTCAGGCGGCTGAGACGAGCTGGTCTGGGAAGCTCAGTCCTCACCTCCTTCTACAGGTGTGCAGTGGAGAGCATCCTGTGCTCCAGCATCAATGTGTGGCATGGAGGCTGCACAGCTGCAGAAAGAAAAGCTTTGCAGAGAGTGGTGAAGGCTGCACAGAAGATGTTGGAGTCAGTCTCCCCACCATCACAGACATTTACACCTCCAGATGCAGGAAGAGAGCCACCTGGATCATGAAGGACCCCACTCACCCAGCACACACACTTTTTGCCCCACTCCCCTCAGGAAGGAGGTTGAGGAGCATTAAGTGTAGAACCACTAGACTGAGGAACAGCTTCTACCATGAGGCTGTTAGACTCATGAATCTCTAACCAGAATAATCACTGTGAAAAAAATCACATCATGTTGCTGCTGATCTGTTTCATGTTGCTGCTGATCTGTTTCAATGTTGCTGCTGATCTGTTTCAATGTTGATGTGTTCATGTGTGCTCATCTGCTTACATGGACTCGTGTTCAGGTTTGTGCTGATGTTTGACGTAGTGTTTTTATGTTATGAGTGCTTAGTGTATATTTAGTTGATGTTTTTCTTAGTTCATATCTTGGATGTTATCATTGTTTTTCTTTTACATTTTATTGTCGGATGTAACTGGGACCCTGTGTACATAATTGCGCTCCACCACATGTACCACATGAGGTGCGAATAACAATAAAGAATCTCTCACTCTGACTCTCTCTCTTTATGTCACACCAGTATGTTGTCTTTTCTTGTGCTGAGGTTTATTTGAACCTCACACTGTGTCCTTGACACGACACAGAGATATGATTTTTTTTTCTACCTCCTCTTTCTTCATGTTTTCCCTTTTCCTTATCTAAACGAAAAGGGCAGTGCTTCCCACGAGGCTGCAGCCTCAGGAATCCTCGTCTACCCATGCTGTTTTCTTTGGATGGCTGTACTGAAATATAATTTCATTGTGCTTCTGACAATAAAGTTTGATTCTGATTCTGATTTCCAGGTCAAAAGAAAATTGTACCCAAGTCCAGCAGTCTCTGTGTGACAAACCACCACTCACCCTCTCACTCACACATTTCCACAAAGTGGAAATAAAAATAAGCTCCTCGTTAGTAATGAGCATCCCTGCCTGACACACAGAAGACTTCCTTTTCTCTTCATTGCATTCTCAAGAATGTTATTCAAAGCATATTGCGTAATATTAAGCAGATGTCGTGAGTAAGTGCTGAAAAAAAAAAAAAAACATGGGCCTCCAAGGGAACTATTCTGAGAAGCCACAATCAGGACTCCAGCCAGACGATTTACGTCTGGTATGCAGCCTCATGGAGCTGAATGGAATTCCTGCAGCAACAGAGCAAATGCAAAAAGATTTTGCAAACTCATCGTGAGGACACAGAGTTTCTAAACAATGTGAAGAAATGCTGATGTAGCCATGAAGATGGAACAAATTTCTCCTTGATAGACCGGTTGTCAGCGCCTAAACCAGCTGAGAACTGGAATAAAATTAGGCATGTGTTTAAACTGGAGAAAATTTGAGCAATTAGAGTTTTGGCTGGTGCTAAATATAGTAAAAGCTGGAGCTGAACAAAGATGTGATTATTTTGGAAGCCCAGTGTTTTCAGAAACCGGCTTGTTACCAAATCCTAGTTGTGTTGACGTTTTATGGACTAAAACTGCACTCAGACTCAAATAATAACTCTCAAAAAATAGACTGGATTAAAAAAGAAGACTAATGAGCAGAATCTTGAAGAAGCAGCTTGTTTTTCTCAGTGGGACATTTTATAAAATATGCAAAGTTTCACTCAGACACAAATATTCTTCTGCAGAACTAATCACACCATGTGCTTCAGAATATTTGTTGTTATACCCCCCCCCCACACACACACACACACACACCTACACATACAGTATAAGAAGCCCATTTCTTCTGGTTTTTGAAATAAGATTCTCCATTTGCAATTCCTAAAAGATTTTCCACACATTAAAGTGTCTCGAGGAACAAAGCAGCAGAGCTCAGGCTGTTCCCAGGCTGCAGGATAGTGAAGAAAAAGACTCTTCAGGGGGAGCCAAAGATAAAGAACACCTAAAAAAACTTACTGGTCTCTGTATTCTTAAATTTTTTTATTCATACACATGGAAGCAGAGCAGCTCTTCAGTTTCACCGAAGCATCTCGTCTTTCATACCCAGATCAGTCGCCTGAACCAGGTGAAGGCATTTCCCAATAGATTTATTTTTCATTTGTATTAATAAAACTCCTTCAGCGTCCTAAATTCAGACATTTCTTTTCAAAAGAAAAACAAACAAAACTGGAAATCCTTTAGAAAGAACTCCTAAAGGAATGGGTAAACACTGACACATGGCACACACACCAAAAACAGGACACCTGACAGGAGGTGGGGGCACCATGTATGCAAACTTGTGGCCTACCTTTGAACCAGGAGAGCCAGGGAAGCCTAGAGCTCCAGCTGGACCAACCGGACCCTAGAGACGAGAAAGAGACACAAATCGCATTCAGGTGAGAACTTTCAGGCTCCACATTCGAGTCACAAAACAAGATGAACTTCTCCTGTATTTAAAATGAGTTAAACATAAATAAATGATATTTAACACGATACTCACGGGAGGACCAGCAGGACCAGACAAGCCATCATTTCCACGTGCTCCCTGACCAGAGACAACAACCATTGATTACATTTAGGTGTAATTAATAACAAATAATTAAAAAAAACTGTCAAAGCTGTCCTTAACTGATGCAAAAAGTGAACTTTAATTCAGAAGAAGTCAAAAAGGAAGAAACAAAACCACATGTTATGTATGACATGGCACACAGAGATATTTCTATAGGAAGGTGGCACCTACAGCAGCTCCAGAGGGTCCAGGGCGTCCTCTCTCGCCAGGTAAACCGCGGGGGCCCTACAGGCAAGCAAACATGTCGAGATGAAGGTTTTATCATGATTTATCTTCTTCAGTAAGCATGATGGCTGCTCCCTCCTCTAGCAGCTCCTTTTTTGTTGTTGTAATTTTAGCAATGAATACTCACCATGGGTCCAGGTGCACCGCTCTCTCCAGGAGCACCAGATTCCCCCTAAATAAAGAAATATTCAGTCTTTAGCATGATGAGACAACTTGGTATGGACATAAGAATAGGTCACTTTTCATTACTTTAACAGAAACCACTGTTTCTGGTCTTCTTAGTTTGTTTTAGGTGGATAATGTTGGAATTGTAACATCTAAAGCAGGACTATTCAACTAAATTACTCAGGGGGCCACATTTACTGAAAGCCAAGAGCTCAGGGGCCAGACATCCAGCAGTTATTCTCGTTAAGTAAGTTTGTTTTATGATTTAAAATCTAGTTGTATTTAAAAATTAACCCATTGGTGGGTCAAACTGAGCACTCGTGGGCCTAATTTGTCCCCTGGGCCACCAGTTGAATAGCTCTGATCTAGACACATTAAACATGTGCAGTAATGAGAAAAAATAATCACGATTTCTGGCAACGTGTTTTGAGATAGAGACAATAAGTCAACATTAAAAGGCACAAAAATGAATCCAACATCCCACCTTAGCACCGAGAGCGCCTGTTTCTCCCTTTGCACCATCGAGACCTGAGTAACCCTTAACAGGTGATGAGAGAACAATCAGATTTCTGAGGATAATGGAGCACACAGATTTGTAGCAGAAAGCTTTGTTAACAAACTCACTCTGTGTCCCTTGATACCTGGAAGACCAGGAGTTCCTGGGAATCCACGAGCGCCCTGTGATACAAGAAGAGAAGTAAAAAATGGAAATCAATAGGGGAAAAAAAGACAGAAGATAAGCCTGAATTTGTCTTTTTAAGCTTCTATTTTTGAATTTAGTAAATGTTTGACTTGGTGTCACAAAATTGTTTTATTATTAAAAAAAAAATATATTAATAACTTGCAATTTAACAATTTACTCAAACAAAACCGTTCTAAGAAATAAGAGCGTAAAATCATGATTTGTTAGGAACTCTGGGAAGTAGCTCACCTGAGGTCCAGTAGGTCCACGTTCACCTGATTTTCCTGGTTTGCCAGGCTCACCCTAAAACACAGACAAACAAAAAAAAAGTTTGTTTTTTTTTCTTCATGCAAGCCTCCACACATTCTGTTCTTCACAGTGAGAAAGGCACTCCTGCTGGAGACAGTGAGGAATGATCCATGCTAGTGTAAAATGTGACAAGAGTCACATCTGCTGCCATCTGGTGGCCAAACATGAGTATTACAGTTCCTTTTCATATTACATAACTAGATCTGCTTTATGGGTTGTGCAACCAGAGAGAATAACAAAACAATATAGAAAACCTTTGTTTCTCAGAGATTTCTATCTTTAGGTAAAATTTTGAATTAATGAGACTAAAATAAACAAAAGTTAGATAGATACAAACAAAGAAAAGCTAGAAAATAAATGCTAAAAAAATCTAAATAGTTTTTGCACCATCTTGAAATACAACTTTTTGTATTTATAAAAATGGCTTCCTAGGGAAAGAGTCTGGAAACATTTACATATTGATAATTATGACATAACTTTGAATTTCACTAAAGTAGTCACAAACAAAACATAGTACATGTCTGTTTCCATATTTCTCTATTTGTGCAACCGATAAAGCTGCCGCCTCTCAGCGGAAAGGTCACGGATTGAATCCTGACCCGGACCATTCTAAGAGGAGTTTGCATGTTCTCTCCGTGCATGCGTGGGTTTTCTCTGGGTACTCCAGTTTCCTCCCACAGACCAAAAACATGCATGTTAGGCTGATTGGTAACTCTAAATTGTCCCTGGGTGTGAGTGAGAGAGTGAATGGTTGTTTGTCTCGTTTGTCTCTATGTGTCCCTGTGATGGACTGGAGACCTGTCCAGGGTGTCCCCTGCCTCTCACATAGTGACTGCTGGATATGAGAACCAGTGACCCCCATGTCCCGAAAAGGAATAGGCGGGTAAAAGAGAATGGATGGATGTTGTCTGAATTGAAATTTTTCTGATGCTGTCACTGGTTCACTCACAAGGAGTTACAATTAGCTGCAACTTCGCTCATTATTTAGGAGCTTTATCACAAGTTCCTTCTTATTAAATATTTTTTTTCCATTCGGCTGCTCCCTTCGTCAGGGGTCACCACAGAGAACTAACTCACATGAACACTTGGCGATTGTACTTTCACTGGGTGCCGTTCCTCATGTAGCCACAGCCCTCTGTGTGGAGCAGAGAGCTGCCACCTATAGGGTGTCCAGGGGAGCAGATTTTGTTGCTTAAGTGCCTTGCTCAAGGACTCAGAGTGGGGCAAATGAGGGTGGAGGCAGGTGTGGGTGCTTAAACTTTCCCACCCGCATTTTGATGTTGTCAGTCTGGGGGATCAAACCAGCGACCTTCCGATCACAGACTCGCATACTCTAACCTCTGTGCCACCTCTAGCCTACCATTTATAAATGTTCTTATATATTTTATAAATGCGACAGTCATACTTACATCATCTCCAGGTTTTCCAGGAGGTCCCGAGGGGCCACGGGGACCCATGGGGCCCTGTTAAAGATAAAATAATAATAATAAATCAAAAATCACTTACAGTTCATATTGATAACCAACAGAGGGCATAGACAACTAAAGTGCTTCATCTTAATTCATGGTGACAGGCCATGCTGCTGTTCCTTTTCCGATCGGCTCTGACAAAACAAACGGGTCACGCCTGAACCTACGATTACATTTATCATATGACCCGTATGTGCTGAACTCACTGACAAAAGCTGCTGCAGCTGATCTTCACTGGTGCATTAACAGTCGTTTACACAAGTCAACATTTATTAATGCAGAACTACTGTATAAAACAGAACAAGTCACTTTAAATTCACTTTAATTTGAGCTCTTTATTGCACTGAAATAAGATAAGGACGATTTATTCATGTTGTAGTACAAAAGCTGTCAAACTTTATAGGTTAGATTAGACTGAAACAAAGCTTTGTTTGTCTCAAATAATAAATAACTTTGACTAAATCATTTTACTGTATATATTCAGTCAGTCCAGTTATTATTTTTTGTATAAATGAGCTGTTCATATCAATAATTATTCGTAGGATCATCCGATACCTGAGACTAAAGTTTGAGCATTGGCATTAATAATATGATTAATATAATATCCTATTATCTTTTTTATTTAATCCAAAATCATTGTAAACTAATAACTTATGATTGAATGAAGTACTTTCTGGAATTTGCATCACTGACGCTGAGACTCTTCCAATTATTTTCTTGATCTAAATTTGATTTTAATCACACTTAATGATATACTGGCTTTTTTTTTTTTTTTTTTTAAAGAAAAGGCTTCTCTGTGGGATTCTCTGAACTCTACATGAGCAGATTATCACAGCAGTGGGGAGACCTTATCCTGTCCACCTGCTGAGGGGTCGGGGAGGACAGGAAAGGAAGGAAAGCTTCTGGAGAAATTAGCTCTTAGGTATACAATTTTTAAAAAGCAGGAGTAGACTATCAAAAAATAAAATTATGGAATAAATATAATTTTTCATGGAAATAAATGTCGACGTGACTATCAGATAGAAAAAAAGAGCGTTGGAAAAAGTCAATGATATGTGTAAAAGTAAGGAAGCACTATGTAATAAAATGAAGTACAGCAAACACAAGATCCGTTCTGTGCCCCCCTCCCCCCACTCCCCCATCAAATGACATATTATAAAACCTCAACAGGAAGTCTCAAGAAATGACTAAAGAGTGTTTCTGTTTCAAAAGTTGCAACCAAACAGGCACAAGAAGTTAAAACTGTGAAGACATGCCATAATGAGTAACCTTTGCTTAACCTTTATTGTTCCATGTTTTCCTAACAGAGCACTTCGCTCTCAGACTGCAGGTTTACGTGCGGTTCCTAGAGTTTACAAGAGCAAAACGGGAGGCAGAGCTTTCAGCTGTCAGGCTCCTCTCTTGTGGAACCAACTTTCAGTTTCTGTCTGCGAGGCTGACACATTGTCCAGTTTTAAGATTGAGTCTTTCCTTTTTGATAAATCCTATGGTTAAGGTCACTTTGGGTTTACTGAGCTATCCTTTAGATCTGCTGCAATCGGCTTAGACAGCTGGAGGACAAACTGACAACATTTCCTCACTCTGCTGCTGTCTTTGCTCTACCTGTTTGTATTTGTAATTATTAAAGCTTAACGTGTGTTTTTTGTCTTTCTTCCTATAGACGGAACACCTGGACCTGCCATTCTGTTTGTTTGTTTCTCCTTCCTGTTCCTCTCAAACCCCATCCGGTCAAAGCAGATGGCTGCTCATCCTGACTCTGGTTCTGCTGGAGGTTTCTTCCTGTTAAAAGCAGTTTTTCCTTTCCACTGTTGCCTTTGAGCTCAGGATGGGAGACAGTGACAAAATGAAGATTCAACACGAACTGTTGGTTTCTTTAGACAGAGGACTTTTACTAATTGACTTTTTATAATGTGAATGTTTCTGTTCAGTGCCCTGAGAGGACTTCTGTTGTGACTTGGTGCAATATAAATAAACTGAATTGAATTGAATTCTTCAGCTTAGTTTTTTTAATAACATTTTCTTTTGAAGTATTTTTATGAATACAAATATATTTTAAAGGTAAAGGGTAAGAAGAAGAAAAATTAAAGATGCTCAAGAGCCTAAACAAGAGGTGAAAAACCTTCAGACATCAGGAGCTACCAGGAAAATGTAAAAACAAGTGGAGCTGGACAGAAAGACAGGCGGTGCACCGCAGGGAACTCACAGATTGTCCAGACTCTCCGGCCTCTCCTGGGCTGCCTTGGAAACCTTGTGGGCCCTAAGATGTGGAGAGGAAAGAAAAATACTCCAGCTGAGAAAACGAACAAACAAAAACTGCTTCACGTGCAAAGACAGAAGGCACAAACTGTTGAAACCACGACCTCATCAATAAATAAATATTTTTCCTATAACAAATTTTCATCTGCTTTGACAGTTTGAATTTAAGCTTTCTTTAATTTCTTTCGATTGTCTTAATTAAAGTAAATTAATACTGAATACCGTTTATCAACCTGTTATTTGTGATAGTACCACATTCTTTTGTCCACCTTTTTTCCACACTGCTTTGACAAACAACAAACCAAAAAAGAACAAACATATCACCAACCAAATATGAGAAATAAGACGCCTACATTAACCTTAATTTAAAATTTAAATTAATAGAATTACAAAAAGTATGACTGGAGAACAGTCAGTTCTGTAAATGAACACTTCACAGTAAGTAAAAGTATCCAGTGGGTGTCAATGATCTTTTTTTTAAGTATTTATCATTTTTGTAAATACTAAATGTGAATGTTTTTCTTTCAGCTGCTTCCTTCGGCTGGGGTGACCACAGCAAGTGAATTTATGAAGGATTTGACAATTGTTTAACACCAGATGCCCTTCCTGTCACAACCTGAGATCGAACCTGCAGCCTCAGGATGTTGACACTGTGGCACTGACCACCAAGGTACCCCAGCCCCCTAAATGTGTTCATATTAGTGTGAATAAATCATAAAATCAAAGGCAGCTCAGGCGAAATCAGTTCTTTAATTTGAAGCCTGCAGGAAGGCAGAAAATTGCTACATAAAGTGTGGTTACAGGTTAGAGCGGAAAAAAGACAGGGTGTGTTTGTGTGCAGGGTGTAAACCCAGTGAGGATGTGAGAACGGTAAATTGTCAGGTGCTCCACATTGTGTCTGGGCTGTGGCACAGGAAAACACCTCAGAGCCTGCAGCTGGAAGACGAAAGTATTCTTTATGTGCCGCCTGCAGACGACACCGATACAGTGTAAACTTTTACCTTTGGTGGCTGTGACATGTAATCCTGCCTGGAGTTCAAAGTCAGTGGTCAAATATAATATCTATAGACACTAGAGGGGGCAGACTCTGATAATTATTGGATTTATCCTGTTGAAGAAACAACACAGGACGCTGTCTGCAGCTGTGCTCAGATCTTGTGTAAGAAGTAAAGAAGGTACTTACAGGTGCTCCGGAGGGGCCAGGTGGTCCTCTGGGTCCCATGGGGCCCTGAGGGAAAGAGAAACCAGAGGAGCAACATCAGGACAAAGACAGATAACTCCATCGTTCACCAAGACAAACACAAACATGTTAATTACATCCGAACACAATCAGATTTTACTTTGACCATTTTTTAGAAGCAAAATCTACACGTTGATCCAGTTCAGTCAGGATCTGCGAATCACATCGTCTGCTTTGCCCCAAAGCTACACTCTGTAATACTCAACAGCTTTACTTGTCAAAAACATAAATCTTTAGAAATTCCTCAGTGGCATTTAGAACTTATCTTTCTTCCAATCCCTCCTTTCACTTATTTTAAACACCCTTCTCATCTTTTTATAGCTTTTTTGGTTGTTGTTTTGCCTACATTTTTCTGCAGTTCAAAGGTCATCAGCTGTACTGTTGTACTCCTAGGAGAGACTTGTCAAATCTTACATAACTTCCTTTATTTTGACAAACGAGCCTTAAATGCTGATGCGCGTGCTTTAAAAGGTTTCGCAAAGGTTTAGGCTTAGACTCAGAAGAGGGTTACATTTTTCTGCTGAATGCTTTCAGACTGAAACTTAATCTGCTCAGCGAGAGCTTCTGGCTGGACTCACACGCCAAAATAAATTTTTTTTTGCTTCACCTTCATGCATCAGCGCTCAGCGAGAAAAAATTAGAGGAATTAGAGTGAAAAGTGAAAATCCTAATGGGTTTTCTTTCAAACTCACAAAACACACACACACACACACATATATATATATATATATATATATATATATATATATATATATATTGCATATAAAAGGGAAGTAATGGATTTTTGTTCGAAGTTGTTTCTCATAATTAAAGAAAATAATGAATTTGGACTTCTTGTGTCAGCTGTTTTCCACATTAAAACCATATTCCTCTCATTAGTCTTGCTTTCATTAATGCTCAGTTAAAAATGAGGGCGTGCAGCCAAAGAAAACGTCACAGCAGTGTACAGTGCTCCTTCGAAAAGCATGAAAATCAGCTTTCAGTGTGTGTGGCAAGCTTCCACCAGCTTATCAATGGGACTGTGTGTGTTTAAACTGTCTGAATGCGTGCGAGCAAAGGTTTCAGTAAAAGCACTGTTCGAGTGTTGGAGGAAACGATTAGAGGTCCTTAAGTCTGACTTATATAACATTAGTTTGGTTCAGCTGCTCTCAGACAACGTGAGCGGGATGACGAGCAGCGCTGAGCTCTCAGACACACATGGTGGGTCAATCTTTAGGGCTGAGGCTAAACGCTGGGATCTGATTGTCTCCATGCATCTCCTCCCTCTCATCCAGGTGTCTCAAACCATCACCACCCAGCAGCTCCATGGCTTTTTAAATAACTCCCAGAATGCCCCTCTCTTCACTGTTAGCAGCAGAGGTTTTTCACGAGCTTGAAGATCGATCCTCACTTTATAAAACGACCCATGTGCACTCCTGGTGAGGCTTTTATTCAACAATTGTCAAATTAAGACCTCTCATGCCTTGAAGGAATGCAAATCATCTTTCAACTTTCAGGCTATAGTTTTTAACTATCTACTAACTTTTTGGTCAAATCTTGAAAACAAAATTGCTTGATCTCATGAAAGATCTCAAACACTTGGTGAATAGTTGGAGTGTGAAACTTTCTTACTTGTTTTTTTCTGACATGTGACTTTTAATTACATGCAGAAAGTATTGTTGAAATCTGTCCAGTGGTTTATGAGATATTTTGCTAACAGACAGACAGGGTTGACTTATTCCCAAGGCTTGGTTTCTTTGGCCACACAAAATGTTAGCTCAACATCTATAAAGTTGACTGAGCCATTTTGAGTTTGCTAAAGTAATTTGACTGTGGTGGCCATCTTAAATTGGTTTAACTCAAAAAGATAAATATTTGAAAATGTGCATTATCATTTTCTGAAAATGTTGTTAAATCCACTGGGTGGCAGACGAACGCTCGCATGCACATATAAAAACAGGGGAGTCACATGATTTCCTGCTTTTTGCCCCATGGGCAAAGAAAAAGGGGCAAAAAGTTGTTGTTTCCTCTGATGTTTGCTGAAATCCCATTTGAAGATCAATAACGATGTGTCCATCGCCTTTTGTTATTAAGTGATAACCACGTGGTTCTTCAAACGTAGATGTCCAGATTTTATTTACAAAGTACGTTCCTTCATTATAGTTTACGCTTCGATCAAATTGCAAAGACGGTTTTGAGCAGTAGTGGTCATTTTGCAGATCTCCAAGTCAGTCCTCAGGTCAGAAGATCATTCATTGACTGTCAGAGAAGAATGTGGTGGTGGTGGTGGTGGTGGTGGTGGGGGGGGGGGGGGGCAGCAGGTCTCAGCATGGTTTTCTCACCATTGGTCCTTGCATCACACCCATCTGAGCGCCGCCAGCCTTCTCATCAAAACCTCCAGACATCTGAGCCGCAAAGTTCTGGAAGAGACAAAAGAGAAAACCTCATCAAGATTTCTTAATAAATGAAGGTTGTTTTATGTCAGTTTAGATTCAGATCTTATGATGCTCTGCTCTGTCACTCTGACTTTTGGCTTAAAAACGCAAAAAATAAAAAGAAAGACAAAAACGATAAAAGCCTGAGGCACCCGATAAATTGAGACGTTGGACCACATTTAAAAATCAGCTCTCTATCTTGGTATATTTAATTATTTATCTTGGCACTAAAGTGTTTTCACAGAACTGACACACGGCTTCATTTCGGCAGGACAGAGAAGCAGCTTTTAGGATGCTGTCAGCTGCAGAGCATTATGTGCACCCTGATCCAGACAAGGAAGAGACAGAGGGCATGTGAAAAGTTTTTACAAAGACTTTGTCTGCCCTGTTCCTCAAAAAGCTTCTTCTCGTCCTCTTCTAGGCATCTCATGCCCTTCAACCTTTCCTCCTTCTTGTCAATTCCTCCTCCTTTCTTCTTTTCTTCAGTGAAGAATACAAGGCATTCAGTCGATTCTCTCTCAGCATCCATGCTGTTGAGTCTCTGTCTCCTCCCATCCGCTGCACATTCACATCTTTTGTGTTCTTAGACTTCTTCTTTGCTCTGTTTCATCCATTTTTTCCTCATCCTCCCAACCAGTCAAATCTCTTCTTGGCCTTGAATCAGTGTTCAGCCAGGCAGAGCTTATGTATCCGAGGCCACACCCCTCCAAGTTATAGGATACATACCCCACCAAGGCCAGGGGGTCCGTTAGGTCCGGGAGGTCCAGGGGGTCCGGGGTTTCCAGGGGTACCAGGTTCACCATCTCTGCCACGAGGACCAGGGCTTCCCTTAAGAACAAAGATAGAATAAAAACAACTCTTAAAAACAAATAAAAAGGTAAATGGACTGTACATACATATCACCTTTCCATCTTTTCACAAAGCGATTTACACAATAATCTGTGTCCTCATTTACCCATTCATACAGCACTCTACTACAAAGTAGATCTCTACAAAGTAGATCTACTACAAAGTAGATCTCTACAAAGCTAACTGAACAAATCATTCTAAATAGACTAATCAGTGCTTTATCACATCCATACTCAGATGGGACACACATCAGAGGCAATGACGGGTTCAGTGTCTTGCCCAGGGACACTTCGGCATGTGACTGCTGGTGGATTTGAACCCCCAACTCTTGCACTGACAGACGACTGCTCTAACCACTCAGCCACAACCGCCATAGGTCAAGAATACATTCTTAATCTGAGCCATAATGACCTAACTGTATTGTCTTAAAGCCTTTCACATCGTTTTATTTGGTGTTTTTTGAGAATCTGAAATTATTTTGGGGAATAACTCAAATTGTTAAGAAAAATAAGAGCCTTAAAAAGATTTGTGGAACATAATTATGTGATACACACCAGATTCATTATAGCAGGGGTTCCCAACCCTGGTCCTTGTGGAACACCATTCTGCATGTTTTAATTGTTTCTCTGCTTTGACGCACCTGATTTTGAAAGAATGGGTCATTAACAGGCTTCGGCAGAACTTGAGGGAATAATTAAATCGCTGAATCAGGTGTGTTGGAGCAGAGCAACAAGTAAAACGTGCAGGATGGTGTCCCTCAAGGACAAATGTTGAGAACCACTGCACTACAGTATAGTCATGCTGTCAAATGTGCAAAGCGTTTTTTTATTTTTATGTTGCCGCATGTGCACATTTTTGACAACTGAGACAAATATTCTTAACATAATGTGATTAAATTATATCTTCTTAGGTGATAATAATTATATAAATAGGAGGAGTAGTCTCAAACAACAAATTTAAAATAAGTTGTTCATTTATTTTTAGGACTGTGTGCTAATACTGAAGCTCAGGAGCAGTTTAAATAAATCATTATAAAGTCACTGGCAGGGAAACAAAAAAAAAAAAAAAATGTTGAATAGCTACTGTTGACAGCAGCGTAAAGCTCATTTGAATCTTTTCCCAACTCCGCTGACAGTTTAAAATAAAAAAAACCTTGACCTCTTATAACCTGCTGCTTTTATACAGTTTTATACGGGGTGCAAATACTCCATTCAAACTAAACAACACTGCAGCTTTATTACGTAAGATTGTTGCTCTGTGTTTAAAACACTCTCAGTGTTTCATTACAGGTTGTACACTACGCTGATCATTTGTTGGGTCAAACGGTGCATACCTCTGTGCATGTAGAGACAAATTACCCAGCAAGCTGATCCAAAACTAAGAACATATTAAAACAGTGCTTAGCTTCAGCTAGCCAAAACTAAATGTGCCTCGTGTTTAAATCTGCATAAACAAGATAAACTCCTGGCCTGCAGCTAAGATCAGACCCATGTTGTTACATTAATGACACCATCAAAGCTTGACGAATGCAGCAGCGCAGATTTCCCGCACTGACTGTGAGCGTGAGGCCTCTGAGAGAAGCCAACGTTTACATTCGGAGTCTCCGACAGTCTCACATCTGTTAAACAAGCCAGACCACAGAGCCTAATGGGAACGACACATGACTGGGTAGACTGTGGTGCTCAGTGAAAGGCCACCATTATCCTAACCTGCACGCTGCAACACATCCCTTGACCCACACTCCAGGACCTACAGCTATCAGATTCAATCGGACATACTGTACTTGTTAACGGAGTAGATTATGTGGCTCTAATCTTTAAGAGGTCCACAGGAGGAAATCACAACCAGGAAAATGATTTGTTCAAACTTTCAACGTTATGAAACTAACCTTCTCTCCTTTCTCTCCTCTTGGTCCGCGGGGTCCTTGCTCTCCTGGTGGGCCCTGTGGGAACAGAAGATGGGGCTCAGTACCTTTAATAAATATCTGAGCGTGTAATAAAATGAAGCAGCTATAGCATTTATTGTTGCTGTTGCATCAATTTCTTTCACGGCTTTTTATCGTGAAACAAGAACACCAAGTTATAAAAGCCTTCTCGTATATATAAAAAAATACACATGCAGAGGAAGTTGCATACCGTTGGGCCAGATGGTCCTCTTGGTCCTACAACCTGCGCATGAAAAGGGGGAAAACAAAACAATTAATGCTTCCATTTACCAGATACATTTTCCACACAAGATATTTCCGCCATCAGAGCAGACTTGTTAATTACCAGTATCTATAGGCATAACCAGAAACATATAAACAACGGTCTTTTTATTTTTCTGTTATGAACATGCGCTCCTCAGAGAAGCAAAGTGTTTCCAGGTGCAGCAGCAGTGAGTTTACTCTCCTTCTGCTGCTTTCTGATGGCCCGACCTTAATGGGCGATATGGAAACCTTATGGTTTGGCTGTCTTCCACATGAACGGGTTAAATACCTCCTTTTTTGGCTTTTTGTTTCCTGATTCTTTTGTAAGCTCGTGGTACTGGAACTTTGTCTTCCTGTGGCTGTTTCATAATATATTTTTTATGAGATTCAAATCAGAAATGTCAAGGAACTGAAAATATTTGAGCTTTTTAGTTATCGAGTATCTCATCAGATTAAAAGGCTGCATCCAGAAGGCGTACATGTAAAATGACACATGAGGGTAGCAGAACAATTCTGTTGATCTAATAAAAATAACTTTACATAATGATGTTTTCCTGTGTATGCTGTACTTCTAGGATGCAGGAACATGTCTTCCTCCACTGGCTACCAAGAAGAGTTGGTAGTTTCATGCCAGCTCTTAAACTCTTGACGATAGCTAACAAACAGGTGTCAACTTACATCTGTAATGTCTCCAGGTTCTCCCTTCTGACCCTGATAAAGAGAAAGTAGAACAACTTTCATGAAACTGGCAAGAAATATGTTTAATAAATTTGACAATCCTCATTCAAACCTAAACCTCTGCCACTAAAAGTCTCTTGATGAGGAGTTCTTATGTGATATTAAAAAGTTGGCAGAATATGTTCCTTGCAGTGTCATTTAACAGATGTGACACTCAGTGTGAACAGGAAATTACTATTATTCCTCTGAAAATACTTTTTAACATTAAAGACGCGTCTAAATCCTTAAACTATCAGGTTGTTGTGCAGCTCTGATACGAGTCTGGATCAGACCTGGTTATAATTGCTGGGCAGGTTGACTTCAGATACACACACACACACTGTCATCATCAACATGCAGACATGTACAATTGTTCCAAATATCCTAGAAGTCTCACCTTAGCTCCAGGTACTCCTGTAAGGTATGGTGCATGGTTGTAGACAGAAACAGAAACAGTTAGTGAACAGATTACAAACAAAAATCACCCGTTTAGGGTAAAATGGCTTCTAGTTAAAGTAAACTACTTGCTACACTTTTCTAAAACAGACTTTTCCAAAGTCACCCCATTGTAGTGTTGTTATAAATAGATCCCATTAGGATAAAACCAGTGTTGGTTAACTCACCATCTGGGCGCAGAAGCAAAAGCACAACGAGTGCATTAAAGAAAGGAAGTGGCAGAAAGCAAAAAGGTCAATTTAGACTAACATAAAATCTCACCGGACAGAGAGGAATTTAGTTAATTTAGTTCATCTACAGCTTGGCTACACCTGAGCTATGTTAATTTAGCAATTTTAAGGCTTTAATTGAGTGATTTCTGAAATAGGGCTGGTTATAATTAACATTTAATGACAGGTTCATTTTCAAACACGTTGTTGCCTTACACAAGAGGTCCAGTTATCAATTGTCAAATGTTACAGTAGATAAATAGGATCAGATAAAATGGTTCGTTTAAATCAAGGATGATGAATTTTATACCAAGAATTCAAGTTCATTATCTTATGAATGATTATTTTACAGACAATGATTGAGAATTGAATTTCAGCCAGCCCTATTTGTATGTTGTGGACTCACTCTTTACATGTTACAAATGTCTTGAAAGCATCAATAGAATCTGGATATTTTACAGCAGTTGAATGCACAAGCATGCATTATAAACAGTGACACATCTGATTTCAGTGATGCTTCTCAGCCTATTTTATTTACATTTCCAAAGGAACTAGAGTCTGAATACTGGGGTCTTTGTTTATCAGGAAGCCATGACACTTTGAAAGGGGTATGAGCCACCGGCGAGGTGGTGAATAGCCTCCTTCAAAGCTCTCTGTGCAGAATCAGGCTCTTTTCTTGTCATCAGATCTGCAGAACTCCACAGAGAGGATATAGAGTAGAAATGTGAGGCGATGTCTGCTCGACTGAGGTATTTCCTTAATCACTCCCACATGTTTTCATGATACTCAGGGAAGGAGAGTATTCAAACAAGATGGGGGCCAAGGTACGCCAGCAGTGGAAAAACGCCGGCAGGATTAGCATTTCACTGAAATCTCGTCAGATGTGTCACTGCTGTTGTGTGAATCTTGTCACTTGTTTGCTTTGGGGATTGAAAACTGTTCAAATCAAAGGCTGACATGAGTTACACAGCAACTGCCCACACTTTGATTTGAACCAAATGTGCTATTTTCTTTCCCACCCCAAAGTAAACAGTGTCATCATATTCAGTAATTTATTTATGAAAGGTGTGAGATAAATAAATTACAACCAGAAGGTGAAGATGGGTCAGCAGCGCAGATGGGGCAACACTCTCCGAATGGGATTTCAGGTTTGGGGCAGTCTTTTAGCTCCTCGCAGACAATTTCGTCACACAGAATTGTCCCACTGTCGCACACACAGATGCGACAAGGCTCTGGTTTCCATATGTCCTGGTTGCCATAACTCTGCCCGTCTTGTACACAGCTAAAAGCATCCTCCTCTGTGTTCGAAGTCACAGTGAGGGGCACACAGAGGACCACACAGTTTGGAAGAAAAAGGGAGATTAGGCGTCATATATAAATCAATCACTTACTGGAAATACACAACTCATACTCAACATTTATTTACTGACAGACCTTCTTTAACTTTTGTTCAGCCAAGAAACAATCATGGAGTGTAAAATCAAAAACCAAAAGTTTAAATACAAAAATAAATTACTTGTTAAAATTAAGTAAATCATTAACATAACTATTTAAACAGGTAATACATGTTGATTATGTTCTTTCAACTGGCTTGGACTTAATAATGCTGATCATTTTGTCAAAGAAGCATTGAAAACTATCTAATTAAATCATCAAAAAGCCTGACAAACTATGTCCCATATTGCTTGTGTAATATAATAATTATATTAATTTGATCCAGTAGTTCAAAGGATAATATTCATTTACATTTAAAAGATGCATAAGAAAAAGTGACAATTTTGTTTAAAAATAAAAAAAGTGCTGCTTGTTAAGCCATGATTTTATTAATGATCGACATTTTGATAAAATAGTTGCAACTCTTGTTTTCTAAAGCTGCATCATCTTCTCGTCAATTCTTCACATGCAATCTCTTCAGTGACCACATGAGGGCAGTGTATCACCACATAATCCAGGTCAAGCACACTCCAGGAAACCACTTAACATCAGTGACTCCACTATCTGGAGACCATGTGCCTAAAATCCTTGACAGTTCATTAAAGAGCTAGTTCACATTGTGGAGACACACTATCCTACAGACTTTGCATTCAGTTAAAAAAAATGTTTGCACATTTTTTTTTTCTGCTTGACCACAGCCTGACATACAAAGCACAAGGCGATGTAATGGAGGCAGGTCACATCTGAATGCAGCTACTGTACATAGTGTAACACCTGTTGAGAGAAATGCTCTGACTGGAGTTCCTGAACCTGTGCAGACGGGTGAGAGCAGCTGATCGAACAAAAGAAAGGCCTAAAGGTACAGCCGGTGGGAGAAGGAGCAAGCAGCTATATTTATCTTTGAGCCAACGCTTACGTCTGGGTAACCTAATGGACCTTAGCAGGAAAGAATGGAGTCCTTCTGGTAGGGGACAGAGTGGACAATTCACAAACTGTGCTTGTATAAACATGGGGTGCATTTTAAACCTCTTGTGGGGGCTGTGGCTGTGTGTGATGCCAGTTCAAACACATTGAAGAAAACTGCAAGCGTTCAGGCACATTCCTGGCAGTTTGGATGTCTAGTTTTACAGACCTGGGTGGACTATCAAAGACCTGCACCTGTCCTTTCACTAACTGGCACAAATGATTTGCTTTAAATGGGTTATTTTAAGACAAGGGCTCCTATTGCAGCGCCTATTTAACATCTGATGCTGTGAGTGTCTGATGTTGATTTGAAAACCTCCTCTCCTCAGCTCTGTTTTCCAGGTGAATCAAACTACAAGTTGTAAAGGAAACCAGTGTGTTACGTTGGAGCATTGAAGATGGATCAGTTTTTACACTTGCAAGCACATTTAGGCTTTGATTCTTCACTTATGACCTGTGTGAGTCATAAACCAATAACCTCTTAACTAATCGATAAGGCTCAAGGCCAATAAGGCTACTGTGCTGAGGTCACAATAAAACCTTTTTACTACTCCTTCCAGACCCCCACCCACAAAAAAAATCCCAAAGAAAATTCTTGGGAAAGAAGGGCTTGCATTATATCCAAGTTCCTGTGTCTCTGAGAAGGTAACTTGACACTTCAAATTGCTTTGGCACAGCTATTTCCCCTCTTACTTCTTTTGGAAAATACACCTTTCACTTGCTTTAGAAACAGTAGGTTTGACTTGTGCAGTAAAAATGTTTTGCCTCTTATAATTCAGGTTTAAAGTCTGGTTTTTATTTTATTTTTATTTTATTATTTTTCCAATCACCTCTTTTCATCTTTCTTTCTCTCCTGTCACAGTGTAGATGGAAATACTGAAATCACTTGGAACAATAGTTTAAGCCTCTGGAGGCCTCTTAAACAATCTTTTGTGAATCTTACAGTAAAAGAGCAACTCTGATGAAGATTTAAACTCCCACTTTGCATAAATCAAGAGGTTAAAGAACACCTTTAGTGAAATGGTAATAAAAACATCAAAATAAAGAGTAAGTCATTTCTACCACATTTTAATGATCTTATTGCCTCAACAAGCTGAGATTTGCTTGGATGCCCTCTGACAGTGATGGAATGTGAACACTTTTCATCAAAGGCCCTTGAGCCTGACCACCTTTCACTTTTTGCCTGTCCCTTCCCCCCTCCACTCATCTATATTAAGTGAATCTGCAGTTTAAAAGCTGTCAAAGCACCTAAAGCACCCACAGGTGTCAGGCGGTTTAGTTTCAAGAAAGCAGTGGAAGGCAGGTAGAAAAGAGCCTTGGGCTGCAGGGATCTGGAAAAAAGAATTCATCCTGTGGTCTGGTTTTGGTTTAAACTAAAGACTAACTTTTGAGGAAATTAAATATCAATATATCTTTTTTTATTTTTTTATCACAACCCCAGACATAAAGCAAATGCATACAATTTTGTATTTTTTTCCTCTTTTTTTGTGTAAACATACCTCACACAAAATTTCTATCCCTCAACTACATATGAAAACAGCTGGGGTTTAACACTAATTTAATTATTAAAAAACCTGGTTATCATTAGTCTGACAATATTTTTTTTAAATATAAAAGAAAACATCCAAACATTTGATATTATCTGTGTGTGAACGTTGCAACAGAATCTCATCTCTTCAGATTCAAAACTATTTTAAGTTCAGGCCGTGCGTAGATCTACGAAGATACCAGATAAAACAGTGCACACTGTGACAAAGTCACCTTTTCTTCATTAGAGAATAAAAATGGTGACTTACGGTCATAATCCTGACATCTCACAACGGCTAATAGACAAACTTGGGTTGCTGCAAGTAGCAGTACAGTCCTTGAATCCAGCAAGCTGAACATGTCTAAATATTAGACATGCACAGCCCTTTGGGAGATGAAAAGGTGCGAGTGGAGCGAAGGCTTCTCTCAGTCTTTAGTGATTTATGTCCCCAGTTACAGAAGTCGGACCATCTGACATTCACCCTGCCCAAAAGGAGTTGATGTGGGGAATCCAGCAGCAGGACCCGGACCTGCAGCACAAACTCAGCACCAACCGCTCCAGGCCAGACGCTGTAGTTTTATGACCCGGCTGCCTTCAATGAATCTTCGTTTATTCCCCTAAAATATCAGGCCGGCCCTCTCTTACCCCCTGTCAGGCTGAAACCTGATCCCCTGATTCCCTCCCAGGTTCCTTTCTCCCATACCCAGACCACTCCTTTCACCACGTGCTGAAATGAGCCCAAACAGACTGAAACTTTTTTTTTTCCTTTCAGTTTGGGTGTCCATCCTCTTTCACCCCTACCTAGTTCAGTGATAGTAGAATGACTTCCTTATGCGGGAAATGTGTTTTCTTCTGTGTTTTATCATGTAGGTGAGTAACACATGAGCAACAAACAGCTTAATAAACCTTTCATTGACAAAATATCTACCTGTTGTAATGTTTTCTCCTGTTCCTTTAATATGATCCCATTTATACCACTAAAATGTTGTTCGTATATTGAAAGAAACAACAAACAAAACAATTAATCTGCCTATAGCCTACAGAAAATGGCAATGGAAGAGAGGTTTAAATCCACATATACAAGCTTATCAATAAACAATGTTAGTTGTAGCTATGATGTAGTTGTTTTATTTTTTCAACTTGCAAGTCTTAATGGTTGGTGTTAAACAACAACAAAATTTAACTGGACTGCAGCCTTCCCAATGACCAGAATTGAGAAGTCCATGTGCTGCTGGATACTGGACTTCCTCACCAACAGATCACAGGCAGTGAGAATAGGCAGTCACCTCTCCTCCACAATAGTCCTTAGCACTGGTACACCTCAGGGCTGTGTCCTTAGTCCACTCCTGTACTCTCTATTTACACACGACTGTACCACCAAGCACAGCTTTAATGTCATCCTCAAGTACTCTGATGACACCACCATCTTGGGCCTCATCACTAACAACGACAAGAGTGCCTACAAAGATGAAGTGAAATCACTGACCAGCTGGTGTCAGGAAAATAACCTCTCACTAAACGTCAGTAAAACAAAGGAGATGATAGTGGACTTCAGGAAACAACGTGGAGGCCAGCACTCCACCATCTACATAAACAATGCTGAGGTGGAGTAGGTCAGCAGCTTCAAGTTCCTTGACGTTCACATCACTGAGGATCTGTCCTGAACATTACATACGACACTGTGGTCAAGAAATCCCATCAAAGACTCTAATTCAGGGGTCGGGAACCTATGGCTCGCTAGCCAGATGTGGCTCTTTTGATGGCTGCATCTGACTCGCAGACAGATTTTTAATTAAAAAAAAAAAAAAGATAAAAATATAAAAGATGGTTGTGGGTGGCTGGAGCCTATCACAGCTGTCTGCGGGTGGCTGGAGCCAATCGGATAATGCGTAACGTACATGGGTGACATGGTCATTAAGTAAATTTCCTTCACAGCAGCTAGCTGCGGAAACGTGTCGAAGAAGATGGCTAAAGGAAAATCGAGATGAGGAGTATCATGCTTTTCAGCAGGAATGGACAGAGGAATTCACTTTTGTGGAGAGAGCAGGTTCTGCCATTTATCCCAGTTCAGTATGATCGCAAGGTATGCTGTCGGTGACACACTACGTGAGGAAAGTCTTGCTGTTTTGCCTCTGAAAGGGACAATAAGAGGGGAGGATTTATTCAAGTCTTTCACCGAGTTCGCTAAAGAAAAAAATCTACCGATGGATAAACTTATTTCAGTGTGTACTGATGGTGCTCCATGCATGGTGGGGAAAAACAGAGAATTGAACATCTGAACCAGCTCAATGTGAAAATGCAAGGCATTGGAAATACAGTCTTAACCCTTCACCAAGCAGTGTTTGCATTTGAAAACAAGCTAGAACTCTTCATTGCCGACATTGAAACAGGTCGTTTACTACACTTTGAAAAACTGGGAGAGTTTAAAGATGCATGCACAGCAGGTGACCCTGCTCAACATCTTGATCTTCAGCAGCTAGCGGGCTTCACATCTAATCACCTGCAATCAAGGTTCATCACCCATCCACACGAGTGTGCAGTGGACAGCGCCGACCTAAGTTACATCCCCGGTGTCTCCGTCAGAGAGTTTGAGCTACAAGCTGCTGAGCTGAAGGCCTCAGACATGTGGATGAATAAGTTCAAGTCACTGAATGAAGATTTGGAAAGATTTGCACGACAGCAAGCAGTTGGCTCGCTAACACAAGTGGGGAGAATTGAAAAAACTTCAACCCGCGGACCAGCTGATTGTCAAAACTTGGAACACACTTCCCGTCACATACCACACATTGCAGCGTGTGAGTATTGCTGTACTGACTATGTTTGGCTCCACGTATGCATGTGAGCAGTCTTTCTCACATCTAAAGAACATTAAGACCAACCTACGATCACGTTTAACAGATGGAAGTCTCAAAGCCTGCATGAAGCTTAACCTGACTACATATCAACCAGACTACAAAGCCATCAGCAAAACCATGCAGCACCAGAATTCACTTTAATGGTAAGAAATACTTTATTTATCACCATTAACAACAGCATAACAAGGTTATTAAAAATAATTCAGAGGCTTATTGCACTTTAAAAGTGTTGGTCTAACATAAAATGCACACATTTACTTGTATTTAGTTTTAAAAAATATTGTATGGCTCTCACAGAATTATATTTTAAAATATATGGCGTTTATGGCTCTCTCGGCCAAAAAGGTTCCCTACCCCTGCTCTAATTCCTAAGAAGATTAAAGAAGTTTGGTACGAACACCAGCATCCTCACTAACTTTTATAGGTGCAACATGAGAGCCTGCTGACAGGTTGCACCACAGGGTGGTAAGGGAACTGGACCAGTCAAAGCCAGAAAGCTCTACAGAGGGTGGTGCAAACAGCAGAGGACATCATTGGTAGCAGTCCCCACACCATCCAGGACATCTACCACTGCCAATGTCTGCGTAAAGCACGCAGCATCATTAAGGACCACATCCACCCAGCACAAGGGCTTTTCCGTCTTTCCTCAGGCAGACGATACAGGAGTCTCCCATTGCACACGAAAAGACTCAAAGACAGTTATTATCCTCAAGCTGTCAGATTACTGAACTCGATAATAATAAAAAAAAAAAAAAAATTAAAAACCTCGATCTATATGCCTTTTTATAACTGTCTATTGTTGTCGCTGTTGTCCATTGTTGTCATCATTCTTTCTTGAAAGCAGGTCTCTCTTGTCAATGAGTCCTCAAGGCTCAATGGGATTTACCTGTCTAAATAAAAGTTGAATGAAATTAAAAATACTGAACTATTGACAATAACATAGCACCAGGCCACATGTGTGATACCTAATATGTTTATTGCTGCTCCACTGTGTGGCTGTATCATGTATGTATGTCATGTATGTCATATCATGCCATATATGCCATATATCATGTATGTCACTAACTTACCCTCATAATTCAACTAATCTCAATGTTTCTCACTTCCTGTGCAATAAATTGTCACACAACCTAGTTATGTGCAATATACAGTACATCATGTGCATGTAAGCTTATTTTACCACGTGTGAAATACATATTTATACAAATTCATCCTACTTGCGCCATTATATTCTACCATGTTGTAGTTTACTATTTTTCTTTTGGACCTTGTAAATATAATATTTGTATTTCATTTTTTGGTGCTTTATTTTGTACCCTTATTGCAACAAAAAAGTTAAATCGTGTCATCTGGAACAGACACAATTTAACCTTTTTTTGTTGTTATCTACATGGATGATTGAGCTTACAACTTTCTTTTGTTATTTTTACCCTTATTTTTTTTTTTGTTTTTGTTTTTTTTTTGTTTTTAATGAGTCAAATCGGTTCTTCTCACCCTGAACATTTCATTGCATTACTGACCTTGTGTTAACCTGCATATGACGAATAAACAACATAACATCTGATGTATGTAATGAGCCATTGTGTTCATCGGGGCATTTTACCATTTTCTCCTGGCTGAGACAGCAGTCCAGCTAAGGAGGGGGATGATTTGGCTAAAGAGGTGTTACATGGGGAAGTGTGTTACCCTATTTGAAAATAAAAGCTTGAAGCATGCAGATTGTTACACAGTCCTGTGTAGATCATACACCTTCCAAACATAGTGTCATGTGATAAATGGAGAATAGTTTTCTCCTAGAAGGCGATGAGTTTGATTTTCAGGACAGAAGTCTAGGATGGACTGCATGTGCGTCTTTTTTTTTTTTTTCTGATTATTTTAAATGTTGCCATGGTAATCAGGTCCTGTCAGTGATCTGGTGTCAGGTTGAATGGATTTTTGAGAATAAAAGATTTCTAAATGCTCTGCGGCTTTCACTGCATGTTTGGCAATTAAACTGTCATAATCATCTGGCTTATAATAATAGTAGTAGTAGTAGTAGTAGTAGTAGTAGTAGTAGTAGTAGTAGTAGTAGTAG